TGGGCAATCCTCTGAGACTGGCAGAAGCTCGTGGCTGGAAATTGTTTGGACTAATTGCTTGTATAATAGAAAAAATTATCTCACAGCGGTTTTTGAGTACCATCAACTTGGAGATATGCAATCGGTGAAAAGTGCGTCTCTGCGATCAGCAAAAATCTTGCTACTACGTATATTTTTCTATGCAAGTGAAAGTGAAACACGTAACAATTTCGGATGGAGCTTCAAAATAAGTTATAGGCTGCTGCATGACGGAGGCGCAATATCTTTGGTCTCGAACCCGTCTTTATTAGCCGCAGAGCGCATGAGGCGCAGAATTTGCAACGGTGAAGATACGCGCGCGTCACGTTCGCGCCCGCTCAATTAACACTGACACTGCGCCTTCGTCATGCAGTAGCCTTTACAGAGCGTATGCGATCTTTACTAAGTATCCGCGCTCAAACAATAAAGATTGTTGACCTGTAGTCTGTTGCGTTCCAGCTTTTATATATTTTGCTGAAACTGAGAACGAAAAATAATATCCGTAAATATTTCTATGCGGAACTGATAATAGCCACATCTGATACTGGACTGCTGCATCCCTGCATCTCGGTTTTTGCTCCTTCTTGGAATGGTATTTTTTCGAAAGTGACATCGGTATCCGAATATTCGCAAGCTCTCTTCAATGTATTTCAGTTATTTGTTCCTAGTAGGTTTGTCCAAATTGATTTTTCATTGCAAGTATGAGGAAACTCATTCATGCTTGAAAAAGTGTTTTCTTTATTAACATCTGTTACTATCTTATACATAAAGCTGAATGTCTGTTTGTCTGTCTGTCTGTCTGTATGTCTGTCTGTATGTCTGTCTGTACGTATGTTCCGAATAGAAAATTCCATTTCTGAACCGATCGGGACCAAACTTAGCACGCATACACTTCGGGCCCCGGCGGGTGTCATAGGCTACTTTTCGTCATCGATCGATATCGATTTTATCGATTTTTTGCAAAATTTGAGCTACGGGGCTATTATCAGTCCCGTGTATGTGTGCCACGTTTGGTCCGGATCGGTTAAGAAATGGAATTTTCTATTCAGAACATACGGCGGAGCCGGGTAAGCCAGCTAGTACTGAATATTCGTCATTGTGCATTCTCAAGTTCAGTTCAAAAAGAAGTCAGCTTATCAAGATTGTTATTATCATTGCTGAAATGACCAACACGATTATCTCTTCTATAGGAAAAGTAAGTTTCGAAGCTTTAATCGTAGCTAAAAACAGATTTCATTGCGACAAGAATTCTAAACAAGCATTATAGGCGAAATTTGTTTCAAGCAAACTAATTTCAATAACTTGTGTACATCATTACATTCGGTAATGTTTCGCACAATCAGTATCACCCGTTTTGCAAAGATGCGGTCAAATCATGCAAACTTTTTCAGATCTCGGGGAAAGGAAAATCACACGGCGCTTATATTTTTTCGAATCTGCCTTAAATAACAAAATTTTTTTGCGCTCAAATTCTGCTACCCCCAGTATAAATTGATCTGTAACTCAATCGAAATTGCTTGTGAACTAGTCGTAAGATGTGAGGTCGCTCAGACAATCATGCCTTAGGTGTTCTAGATTGATTTCACACTTCAAAGTTGGATTTCTAAAAGGCACTCGGTCATTCATAGGTAAATCAGCAAATCTCTTGAATTTTGCGATCAACACATTAGCTGTGCATGACTGGCAAAAAAGAAACAAGAAAGCAAAACAAAATTCTGTAAATAGTCAAGCTTCACCCCAGCTTGCAACAAGCTTATAGCTCACTATCAGAAGTCGCTTTCACTTGACTAGGGAACACGGCCATGAACCAGTGTTAAAGCTGTACTGCAAAGAACTCGTCCATCTTGCGATAGGCGGGGCTAACGGTGCGCACCTTATTGACACACGCCTGCCTAAGCGTGCGCTATCGTTCATAAAGTGCGCCACCCGTCTAAATTAGTCCTAGTTGTTGTAAAGTTTTCTTCTGCTAAACAGCTCCTCCACTTTTTGGTACTCGAACGCTCAAGCTGTTATGATAGCTTCATCGGGAAGTTCTTTAAAGTAGGTAAAATGTAAATTTGTGGTCTTACATTTGAGTCGTTAACGAACTTTATTGGAAGATGTGTTTGTTGAGCTTTGCCTAACACTGTATTAAAGTAATAACGCTCAGATTTGAAGAAACTCTACTGTATTTTTTTGGAAGCATAGGCTGTATGGATAACCTCTGCGCTCTCTTGTCGCTGAATATCTGTCTTTCTAACTAGTTATTAATCACTGTAGCAACGTAACGGGGCTCTACGTCGTTCTCTATATTTTTTTGAAATTTTCTGGACGCACATCTTATAGAGGACTAAAGTGTGGGAGCAGGCAAGCAGAAAGAAACCGGATGTTTATTAACAGAGTTTTAAATTATGCTGTGTAATTAATGTAACTTTCCTACTAACGTCTTAGAGTGCATGAAATATGTGAGAATCACCTCAATAAATCTTTAAGGTCCGTTTTCTAAATTTTCTATGACTAGAAATCTAGACGAGAACAGGCAAAAAACACGTAGCGTCACTTTTTCAAGCTAAATTTTTAATATCTCTTGGGAAGAAGCTAAAAGTCTGCAGTTGTATTCGCAAAAACTTGTAGTGTGATTTAACTATTGGGTTGTCTCAAAAGTAAACTGTTCTTCTAAATAAAATACTTCTAAATAATCTTCTAAATCTTCTGAATAATCTTGTAAATACTTTTAAGTAATCTTACTAACTTGCAAAACACCAAGCATGTATATTGTTGGCGATAACAAAAAATACGAAAACTAATGAAGGAAATAATTATCAGATGTATGGTGGTCAAGCTCCTGAGCTTATTGGACTTCTCAAAAATATTGTGAAAATCAGTTCTTGTTAAGGCGATTTTACACACCTATCCCATCTACTGCTTGCCAAACTTAACCTCTTGCTCAGTCAAGGTCGCAAACAAAGATTCCTCCAAATTCTAGATATTTTTTTTTTGTTCCTAGCGGCAATGCTGTTTGCTGTATGCTACCACTTTTTACGGCAAAGGTTTAGGTTTTAGCTGAAATTGGAATTCTCATGAGCCTGTATTTAATTTTTTGACCTTAATTACCTACTTTCGGTTTATGTCTCTTTCTTCAAAGCCGTGAGATCCAACCGGTAAAATTTCATGAATATCGATGAGACGCAAACAAAGTAAATTCTAGGCTTTTAAAGCCTACTATTTTTCTAGATGGAAGAGGTTGCCTTCTTATCCTTTTGTATCCAACTTTTTCCCAATCTTATCTCTTTTCTGAGATGAATTCTTATGAGAAGTCAGACACTGGCTTGGAACGGTAACATTGCGTAAGAAGCATCTTTTGTCCAAGAAAATAAGATTAGACGGAGAAGCATTTTCTTTTCTTTCAGTGACAGCTCATATCTTGCTCTCAGGAAACTTGCTTTATATGGCCACATTTAAGAATCAAACAATTTATTGAAACACGTGATCTCTTTTTCATAGAAATCTAGCGAAAGACAAGGAGCATTTAATTTAGTATTCCATATTTTGCTGGATTCTGTTTTCTACAAAAATTGGTCAGCTCCAAATCTATGATAGCCTACATGATCTATGTGGAAATAAGGTGTCAGTTGAAGTATCTGAGTGCACTGCATTTTTGTAAATTGCGACGATTCTAGTCTCCATGAAAAGGCATGGGATTGGTGCAAATTATCATGTCATCACATAAGGCTCTGTCAATCTGTGGCATATGATTATTAAACATATCTCATTTTTAGGGATATTTTGCAACTTTGACTGCTCATCCCTTCTCTCCAAAATTCTGCCGCAAGCGTGAACAAATAGTAATTTTCCGGTATTTCTTACAAAAAGGGATGATAAATATGTGGAAAAGCCACGTAAAGAATAATCCCTTCATGAGCCCTCCCGCTTGGAACCAGATGCAAAGCAATGAAAATTATTCTTGTTATGTGCATATATCACAGCCGTAATTCATATACATGAAGCATTTGTAGTAAAATTGTTAAACTCAAATGGTACATTTCATTTCTACGCACGGAATAATGTAAGACGCGTAGGGTTATAGGAAAGGTGAGTATTATGAGATAATGCGCTTTACCCGCGTCCGGACATCAGGATGTGTCACGCTCGAGCTACCGCGTATTTCCTGTAAGATGCGCGTCCGCGAAAGCGTTTTCTCGGACAGCATCGTCCCAGAACATAATGCTGTCTCGGGACTTTGTCGCGAAGCCGATTACTTGTGTCGCACCGTCGTCCCGCGTTTACACAAACCTTTGGCTGCGCGATTCAACATAAAATGGCTGAGCACCCAGTCACCTGCAATGACCGAAATGTTTTGACGCGCTGAGATTTCGAAATGTGATAAGATGACCGCACGTGTCTGGTTTGCTCTTGGCTTTATCATGTGATCTTGTGTTTCAACAAATTGTTTGATTCTCATATTTGACCATATAGAGCAAGTTTTTTGAGAGCAAGGTATGCGCTGAAGTAAGATCGTTCACTGAAAGGAAATCTTGGACAATGTCTTACGCAATGTTACCGCTCCAAGCCAGTGTCCGATTTCTCGTGAAAACTCACCTCGGAAATGAGGAAAGAAAAAATCATTTTAAAATTTTACAACTTTGAAACGAAAAACTAGACTTGAACATTTTTTTCTTTCACTCTCTTTGCTCTAAAACCACGGGTAGAGGCGGTCCCCGGATAAATACGCTGTTTGCGGCTGCCCAAAAAATCCTACTGAAAACAACTGAATCGAACTTTTTGGCCGTGTAGAAGTCTTTTGCTGTATGCAGAAGAGTGCACTTGGGATGACTGGTGTTAAAAAGCATGAATCCGTTAGAACACTGACTTCATCAAATGATAGCTGCCATCAGAAATAAATCCGCAATAGCACCAAACTCAAAAAACTATAACAGCTAGTCTTCCAAACATTTGACTTGAAAATACATATGAGATAAAAATACCAAAGTTCAATACAAAGTTTAGGTCGATCTGGCGGCGCGCCTGAAAGCGCACACGAAGCGATTTCCAGAGAGGCACGTGCAGCCGACCTTACGCATGGAGGCCAGATGTACTCTCATACCTGTCTGAAATGATGTCAATTATCTAAGAAAATTTCAAGAAAGCTTACGAGGTAATGGTCAGAACTTAACCCAGCCATTCCAAAGAAGCTGTATATCATCGAACTCGTCTTGAAACGCTGATTTCAAATGTATAAGTTTTTATACGTCAAGCGACTATCTGAGAGGAGTTATGAGCGTTCACACATGAGAAATTTTTCGAGTTTCGACTAATAATTTCTTTGAAAGGCAGTCTGATGGCGCAGATTTACGGTGGTTATGCTTGTTTTGATTACAAGGAATAAGTGCAGTTTTTGGAACTTATTTCTAGGAACATGCGCCACAGAACACTTGACAAATCGCACATTCAAACGCTACTTAAAGACAGTGTGCGGGCAGAAGGTCGATATTGCGATTATATGCTTACTCGGACCTATTCGCTATGCTGAATCCGATCCAGCGCGAAAATGGCAAAAAAGTGCTTTAATATAGCGGGGGGGGGAGGAGGGGGAATTCGAGAGTGGGCGGGGTCCTCTTCACTGCGAATTTACGCTCCCAGCTTCCAGAGCCATCTTCTCGCTTTCGACTTCACGTCAAGCGTTCGTACTTGGCCGGTAGAGATGTCAGGGCGGCTAGCGAAATCGAGAAAATTGCTCCGGAAGCTTGGAGCGTGAATTCACAGTGGGGAAGACCCCGCCTACCTCTTGATTTCCCTCCTGCATTAGAGCCCCTTTTCACCATTTTTGCCTCCCCAATGTGGATTCTCGCATTCTCGCATTCAGCATAGCGAATAGGCCCGGGTTAGCACAATATCTCAAAATCGACTTGTTACCCCGACACTGCCTTCCAACCAGTTGAGCTGAAACTCTGCGCGCATATGCAAATCTTGCGAAGATAACAGGCTACTTTTTGCGGATATTCGTCAGGTCCTCCTATCGATTTACTGATTTGTTTACGTTTCCTCGAGGAAGTGAAAGCTTCATGTTCAAACAAGCACGTTTCCATAGTCATATGAAGGGGCGGTGAAGCTCATTCACACCTCAGGATCACGAGGATGCGGTGATTCGAAGTGCCGCAAGGTAAGTCATCCATAACATGGGCCGGAGGGAGGGTTTTCGCAATGCAGGTAACCGTAGCTTCTACCTCATCCCCTGTGAACAATAATTCGAGCTGGACCGGGAAACCAACTAGTAAGCAGAAAAGTGCTTGCCTATCTTGGCATTTTGACTCTTCTTTTACAAAAAATTATGGAACTTGGCTACATATCGCATTCAAAGGGAAGGAAGTTCTATGTATTGATTAAAGTAGATCAAAAGCTTATCATCATATAAAATTTTAAGAGGACAGGTACCTGTGGCACCTTTTGAAGAGGCATCTCTCTTTAAGAAACTGGTTCGAAAGTTCTATCGCAGCATCCTCCAATCGTAATCATGAGAGTTTTGCATGGCATCAATGCTATTGAAGCGAGCGAATTATTTGTTTTTGACAAGATCAGTTTTCTCTCTAGTAAGCTCCGTATAAAAATGAACAAGAAGAGCACCCAAGGTCAAGGTCTGGCGACTCAGTAGGCCAGTTAATCCTAGCGTTAAGCATCTGAATTTGAATCAGTTATGAACATAAGTTTTCTGATCTCCGATTTCTAGCTGAGCATTTGCGCTATGGAGCTCTTTTCGAGAAGTCATGATTTTTGAGAAAACAACAGAGAAGAGAAAAAACACTTTTTGGCATTTTTCTTGTAACCATGACTTGTAGAAAAGCCCCAAACTTTGTTAGGGTGCCTTCATACCGCGCCGGCAGTCACCGCCAGCAGCCCGTAGCAGCCCGTAGCAGCTCACAGCAGCCGCCAGCAGCCCGTAGCCGCCGCTGGCCGCTTTTGTCATAGAAGCAAAATCATCAAATTCTTACTATTTTGAGTGCAATCGACCACGCTTTCCGTATTTCTTGCTTTTTTTTCCTGTCGTCGCACTTCGATCTCATATATGATATTTGAGTTCATTATTGTTATTATCTAGTTGCCGTACGTTAACCCGTTGGTGCTCACAAGGAGAGGATACCTAGTCGAAAGCAACAATCCAGATAAGGCATAAATCATCTTAGAGCGCTTTAAACGCTGATTCCAAATTGTAGTTTTTAGCTACGGGCGGCTTTGTAGAAGGAGTTATGAGGTGTGTTTCCCTCTAGGGTTGAAGCGCCCATCAGCAGGTCTCCCCTTATCTATGAGCACTGTAGAGGATTACCAAATGGTGGCAGTGAGCCTAGTTGAGTAACTTGATTGATAAGGAGAGTGTCAAGGTTAATCCCCTTCGCATACCTTTACCGCAATTTTTGCAATTTTGAGCGTCTAAATGGCTTTGGGGCCCTAAAGCCTAAAAGTGCTGATGAAATTGATGCTACTCGAAGTTAGAAGTGTTAAAAAACTAAAATAATATAAGCATTATAATCCTTATTGTAATCTTCATTCAAGTTACTTACCACTAGGCTAGTTGACCAGTTGGTACTCCTCTACAGTGCTTATAGAAGGGGAGACCTGTTGAAGGGCGTTTCAACCCTAGTGAGAACCCCCCTTTAGCTCCTTCTACAAACCCGTTCCGCAGCTAGAAACTGTAGATTTGGACTTAGCGTTTGAAGCGCTTTAAGATAATATATGTCTCATTTGGATTGGTGCTTTCGTCTAAGTATCCTCTCCCTGTCTGTTAGTTTCCCTCTTGCAGCTGAACCGTATTTCGACTTTGGATGCGTCAAATTTCTGCAGTGCTTATTTTTATGCGTCGTTCTGCTTCAATCATATCCTTGGCCGGTGCTTATCTTGATCAACTCTGTAATATGTTGTTTGATACTGCCGCACTGACTGCAGCAGTCTGCATCTGACTGCACTGACCGCTGCAGACTGCTGCAGACTGTAGCGACTGAAGCAGACTGCAGCTGACCACACTGGTCGCAACGGCCGCACGACGCTGCATGCTTTCGTAAAAGAGAAAACAATTGCGATTATGTCAAAACACCGTGATTTACGCCTAGGAAGTTCATAGGTTCTAACTTACTCTTTTCAATCAAATTTTGGCGATTGTTTTTCATTGGTATACTTATAAAGGATAAAGGATAAAGGATTCGGCGTCTACAGTACTTTCTGAGGGCATGCGCCGAACGCACAACTAACTTCATGGTCGAAGAGGCAATTGTATGCGTGGGACCCTATTACAGTGACTTGCGGGGGCCAGCCGTATCCAAGTCAGTGCTTTTTATCCTCCCAGATTACTCTGGTACCAATTTACCGGCCCCGGAGGGTGGAGGGCTTGGTTGGCCCAGGCGCGGGAATCGAACCTGCGTCCGATCTGGTCATAGCGGCGCCTCAAACCACTACGCCACTCGCCCCGGTATGCTTATATTTGTTCTAAATCTCCCTTTATTGCATATACCTGTTTTACTTTCGTTTCTGTTGTCTTTTGGATCTAAGCGTATATTGTTGTTGATTGTTTGGGCTACAACTATTTATCCTCTTCACCTTTACGGAAGAATACAGCGATCTGTGCGGCCCTTGCGGTCAGTGCGGTCATGCAGTCTGCTGCAGTCAGCTGCAGTCAGCTGCGGTCAGTGCGGTCAGCTGCAATCAGCTGCGGTCTGCTGCAGTCTGTTGCAGTCAGTGCGGCAGTCTGAAACAACCCAATGGAAGGTGGAACTGCACATTAGTCGCAACGAGAAGAAAGAAGCGTGAGAGAGGGAAGCCTGGGCGGGCGCACCTAAAGTGGTAATAATTTGATGCTCTTGGCTTCTATGACAAAAGCGGCTAGCGGCTACGGGCTGCTGGCGGCTGCTGCGGGCTGCCAGCGGCTGCTACGGGCTGCTAGCGGCCGGCTGCCGGCGCTGTATGCACCCTTAGAAAGAGGAGTGTAGAAACTTATGTTTTTGACTGTTTCAATTTATCGCAGACTTTTTATTTTTAAACTTTTCGGTGAAACTGCTCAAACTGCTCAACCTTTTTCCATGTGCATCTCTGCAAACTGAGCTAAACAGAGAAAAAACATGATGTTATTAGACGGTGCACGATTTTTCTGCTGATGCTATGCCATGCAAAACTACCATGAGACTATGCAAGAAGCTACGATTTGTTGAACATGGTAGGCAGAATTTGGAGCAAAAATATTATGTTGAGTCGTTCCGAAAGCTCTTTTCGTTTCTAAGACCTGTCATAAAATCATGTGCAATGGAGAGATGGGCAAACGCGCTACAGTCGAGTAGATTATTTGCGTAATATAGTGTCCTCACAGACGCGACAACGTGAGTCAAGAAATGCATGCGAGGTTCCTATGCGAGTGTTTTGTGGTGTTTTCTATTTTTACTTTTTGCTTCTTAGGTAAATGGTTGCTGATAAAGAAGAAATATGTAGACTAAGAGTAGTTTCTGTTTTCTGGGTAATTATATCACCACTTACTCCAAAGTATTTACGTGAGAGCACGTCGCGTCACTTTCATTCGTATTTTTGTCACATCCTTTATTTCGTCAGTTTTGGCTCTTTCTTATTGGGAAGCACTTTTTCGAACGTTACTAGGCTTGCGCTGCAGCAACTTCTGCCTTCACTTTAATTGAGAGAGTCACTCAAGTAGCACGTGTAATAAAAACAGAAAATTACTTACTAAAGGCATACGAGCATTCAAAGAAATGCTTCACAGTAGAAAAGAGGTGTGAAGTGACAAAAAATGCGCATGAAACTGACGTGACGTAGCTTCCACGTACACTTCAGGATTAGCGATATTATGACTTTCAAAGGAAGAGAAACCACATTAACATACCTTTTTCTTCCTTATCAGCAACAACAAACTTTAAAACCAAGAAAAAGAAAGGAAACACCAAGAAACAATCGCGGGAATTCGCAAGTTTCAATTGCTGACGCACAAGCGTTATCGCGTCTGGAGAGACATATATTAGGCAGGAAATCTACTAGACGTAAGAATATTCGACTCAGATTGTCTGCCTCTTTTCAACAGTCATGTTTACAAACCATTTGCTTTTGGTCACTAAAATAATAGCCAAAATTCCGAACTCATAAGTTTTGCCACGCTCAAGTTTGGCTGCTCTTCTTCTCCTGGGCCGCCTTCGGGCCTCTGAAGGAAGCCACCGATCAACTGACGGACCCGGAGCTTCGTGCCCACCTCTTCGACTCAACCGTTCTCCCGGCGCTCTGTTACGCAGCTGAGACTTGGGCTGACACCGTCGCCACTTCGAAAGCTTTGAGGACCACCCACAGAGCGCTAGAGCGTAGTCTTCTGAAGACGACCCGACACAAACAACATCTCGTCGGACTTCGCAGTACGGATATGAGGAGAATGTCCCGTCTTCGTGACCCAGCGGATTACGTTGCGAAAGCGAAGCATCGATGGGCCGGTCACATCATGAGAAGAACAGACGACAGATGGACACTAAGAACAACGGAGTGGATTCCTCGCGAAGCAAAACGTCCCCGAGGAAGACCACCAACGAGATGGGCAGACGTGTTCGTGGAACGGATGGATCAGCTGAGAAATCAGCTGGATACGATTTTTGCACCTGGAACTCGTGGACGCAGCCACCGACGTCAGCCAAGAAGATCGTGGATGTCAGAAGCGAGGGACAGGGAGAAATGGAAACTTCTGAGTTGGGGCCCGCACGTCACGTGAAGCCGGGCCATCTAAGTATCTAAGTAAGTATCAAGTCTGGCAACTTGTCAAAATTTCCAGTGCAAGTTCTGGGATGCTGTGATAACAGGTGGATAGAGTAGACAAAGTGTAATAAACAGAATTTTTTTGCATTTCCAATTAGCTTTCCAGTTTTTTCATGAGAATTTTTTTCGAAGGTCTTCACTTTTGCGAAGTCGTGTGATACACGAGCGCACCAAAAACTGTGAAATCCTCGGATGTTGATAGTTTTCAACTCGACTACCATTTCACTAATTTCCCAAAACAAATGAGCTTTTCCCACTACGAAATATTGAATTTCAAAATTTTGGGTACAGCCGTCCACAAATTCACGGTTTGTGTAGTTTCGTCTTCGAAGGTTCCACAAATCGAGTAGAAAAAACGCCAAACAAAAAGAGGAAAAAAGCTGCATTGGACAATGTCCGAGTTGTTTGTCGGTTGATGTTCTGTGAGGGCTAGCTGAAGCAAATATGGAATTTGCTGGCATCCGAAAAATAATTTTTGTATATAATCTCCAATTTTGTTTGCCGAACAGATTTGTTATGGTAGTATCTTTATTCGAATGGCCTAACGTTTCGGCGCGTTCGCCGTCCAGGTTTAAAGAAATAGGAACATTCAAGTTAATAATTTTTGTTTTCAAACTTTGGAAAGCCAGCTGGAAATGCCAAAAATGTTCAGGGTCACACTTTATTTGCTCTATCCAGCTGTTAATTGTTCTCGAATCGCATAGAAAAGCTCATACGTGATCGGAAAATCTCACAATAACCCGATTTTGACCCCGCCTCCCGTTATGCAGTCTCCCCCCCCCCTCCCACCCAGTGGCAAGCTCCGCCCGCTTTTCAAAAGTGCCGGGAATTGATTTGTTGTTTTGGGGGTTATTTTTATTCGTTAAAATATTTAGTACACCGCCTAAAAATTTTTTCTAATTGGATCTGCTTCAATATATTAGGTTGGTCCGAAAGTTCGTTCGCATCATTTTCAAAAAATCATAACTTCGTTCCCTCACAATGATTTTGCGCAATTCAAATTTTATTAGAAAGCGTAAAGCATGTAGCTTTTAAAAGTTTTCTGGAAACTTTTTAGCATGCTCAGGTTGCAGAGATAAAAATGAAAGAACGAGATCAACAGAAATTCGGAATTTTTTAAGCAAAAATTCTAAAAATCTAGAAACTGCGCGATAAAATTCAGAAAAGCCATTATCCTAATTTCTCTTATATTTGATTACTAATTGAGTTAAGTTTGTGCTGATCGAGCTCTTCTTTCAAAAGTTATGATTTTTTGAAAAAAAAAATGCTGAAAAATCAATTTCTTAAAAATTCTTAGGAAAGTGATCTTAGGAAAGTGATTCTTCGGAATTTTTTTTTCAAAAAATCATAACTTTTGAAAGAAGAGCTCGATCAGCACAAACTTAACTCAGTTAGTAATCAAATATAAGAGAAATTAGGATGATGGCTTTTCTGAATTTTATCGCGCAGTTTCTAGATTTTTAGAATTTTTTCTCAAAAATTCCGAATTTCGGATGTTCTCGTTCTTTCATTTATAACTCTGCAATCTGAACATGCTGGAAAGTCACCAAAAGACTTTTGGAAACTACATGCTTTATGCTTTCTGATAAAATTTGAAAGGCGCAAAATCGTTGTGAAGGTAAGAAGTTATAGTTTTTGAAAATGGTGCGAACGAACTTTCGGACCAACCTATATATTAGGTATCCTAACAATATATATTAGGTCATTCCGAAAAATTTCGCTTTCTTCAAACGGACCTCACAAACGATGGAACGAAGATTTCTAGATGATCATGGAAGCATTCGATGCAGAATTTCTTTCTAAGGATTACGTAACTGTTGCAAAACAGTCAATGAGCTTTCAGAAAATAACCAAAAACTGCAACCCATGCTTTTTGAGATGGTCAAGATTTATGATTTCTTAAAACTTTCATATCAATCCTCAAAAGGACTGCAGGTAACGATTCGATAGAGTAAACCTTATAGAAAACAGTACTACTTTTTCCTCCTTTCCATAGCTTGTCATACATTTTTAACAGAATTTTAACTGATGCTACCGATTTCCATACTTGGGCAGCTAAATCCTCGTAGAACATCAAAAGAAGAGCAGCTCGCCCACTATTCGATGCAGCACTTTCTCCTCTTTCTAACAGGTGTTTTTTGTTTCCGATTCGTTTAGTTTCCGGGGAGAAATCATCATGACTCATTTTTTTAGCGAGCCCCAGGCGCTGTACCCGAAAAACTCGAAATTTGATATTTCGAACCCGTAAACCCTCACATGCTTTGTAAAATTTATGCTAACTCATAGTACTATCTTGGTAGTCTCAAATTCCGAAAAATTATGATGTTTGATGCGATTGTGGCTGAGGTGGGCCTGCCAGAACCCGATGGTTCTGTTGAAAAATCTTTTAAAAAATTACGGCGAGATACGAGGAAGAGAAAAAAGTAGTACTGTATTCTATAAGGTTTACTCTATCGAATCGTTACTTGCAATCCTTCTGAGGATTGATATGAAAGTTTTGAAAAATCATAAAACTTGACCATCACAAAAAGCATGGGTTGCAGGTTTCGGTTATTTTCTGAAAGCTCATTGAATGTTTTGCAACAATTACATAACCATTAGAAAGAGAATGAAATTCTGCATCGAATGCTTTCAAGACCTCTTAAAAAGGTTTGTTGCATCGATTGTCGCAACCGTTTGAAAAAAGCGAAAATACTTTCGGGACGACCTAATATATTCAGGCTTAACTCCTGGAACAATTTCATGGGCAACCATTAGAAAGAGAATGAACTTCTGCATCGAATGCTTTCAAGACCTCTTAAAAAGGTTTGTTGCATCGATTGTCGCAACCGTTTGAAAAAAGCGAAAATACTTTCGGGACGACCTAATATATTCAGGCTTAACTCCTGGAACAATTTCATGGGCAACCATTAGAAAGAGAATGAAATTCTGCATCGAATGCTTTCAAGACCTCTTAAAAAGGTTTGTTGCATCGATTGTCGCAACCGTTTGAAAAAAGCGAAAATACTTTCGGGACGACCTAATATATTCAGGCTTAACTCCTGGAACAATTTCATGGGCAACCATTAGAAAGAGAATGAACTTCTGCATCGAATGCTTTCAAGACCTCTTAAAAAGGTTTGTTGCATCGATTGTCGCAACCGTTTGAAAAAAGCGAAAATACTTTCGGGACGACCTAATATATTCAGGCTTAACTCCTGGAACAATTTCATGGGCAACCATTAGAAAGAGAATGAACTTCTGCATCGAATGCTTTCAAGACCTCTTAAAAAGGTTTGTTGCATCGATTGTCGCAACCGTTTGAAAAAAGCGAAAATACTTTCGGGACGACCTAATATATTCAGGCTTAACTCCTGGAACAATTTCATGGGCAACCATTAGAAAGAGAATGAACTTCTGCATCGAATGCTTCCATGATCTTCTAGAAATCTTCGTTCCATCGTCTGTGGGGTCCGTTTAAAAAAAAGCGAAATTACTTTCGGAATGACCTAATATATATATATATATCAGTGGCGTACCGAGGGGGGGGGGCGGGGCTGGCGCCACGCCCTCTTTTTCCAGATTTTAGGGGTCGGGGACCCGCAAAAATTTTGAGAAGCACCCCAAAAATTTTTTTGAAGTGCGTGGCTAACGCCACGCACCTTTATTAGAAAAAAATTTTTGTCGCGCCCCCCCCGAGCCGAAATCCTGGGTACGCCACTGATATATATATATGTATCCACAAATTTCGGCATTTTTGGAAAGTGGGCGGAGCTGCCCAGCCCATGTATTGTTGTATCTCACGCACATGTGCATCCATACATGCATGCAGCCAGCTGTGAAAATGCCCATAAACAATTCGTCCACAAGGACAGACGTCAAAAAACAGCTCGTCGTCAACTTGTAAAGTAAATTATTCCAGAAGTTCGAAGTAAAAAATGCGAAGAATCAAAACTTAGGCATACTGAAAAGAGGAAGAAAAATGTTTCAAAGAGTCACTAAAGGTGTTTGCATCTTCAACCCATGAGTATCTACGATAAATCAAAAAAGATACTTTACAAATGACCTAGTAGTTGTGACGAAATTGAGGTGCCCGCTCTATATCCTTATATTTCGGAGTATCAACTGAAATGACGAGTAGAACATTGAAAAAAACATACCTTGTGTTTCCTGAGCGCACTCAAGTATTCAGCGACGAATTCGGATATCGGACGTTTTTTAGTTCGAATCCCGAGAACACAGCGTTTTATGTTGCAGTTCAATCCGTCTACTCTGAACCCTTTCGCAACTTTTGCTAGGTTGCCGAGATAAGTCTGCAAAATCGCATCTTTCATCGTATCCGTAACAGTCGACTGCAAATCAAGGATAGGTTGACAAGAGTGGAAGCCAGAATTCTCGTTTGGGAGGGGGTGGGACAAAATTTTCGGAAAGAAATGAGGCTTGACGGCGGCCACTCCCGATCAGCAAACTATGGGCTTGACAGCGAACGAAAGAGTAAGTGAGTACGCCACAAATGCAAACTTCGTCTTCAGACTTATCAACTGCCTTCATCTATTTTATCGATTTTGCAAGCTTCGAATATCTCAGGAAAGTCTTGCAAGGGAAAACATTTAACTTAGCTCAGCTTTTTGGAAAGAGACACTTATATTCTGAATACAAACGATGATTCTGATTATGCTATTCTTAGCTGCGGCGCATCAACCCTGCAAGTTATTCAGTTTTTTTTGTGCAAAATTTGCATCAACTGCAAATTTGCATCAACTTACTGGCATCACGGCATCATCATATTAGGTCGTCCCGAAAGTTTTGTCGGTTTTTTAGACCACTATAAGACCACGCACAATGAAGATCTGAATGAGCTTTAACATGTATTCGATGCAGCTTTTCCTTTTTTCTTGTGGTTACATTTTCGAACCAAAATCCTGTATGCTTTTTTGATAATTGCTGAAATTTTTCACCCGTCATTTTTGTCTGCTCAAAGTTCGGCTAATTTTTGAAAATTTCATTTTAAAGTTTTGGAAAGGGTTAAGTAAGAAATAGATAGAGCAATTCCCGGACTACAAAATGATACTTTTAGTTTCCACTAATCTGCTGATTTTCGCTTCAAAAAATTATTTCTTCGAAGGTCTCGATTTTTGGCAAAGTCATGAAACACGCAACTGCAGCAAAAACATGAAAACTTCTAAAGCTTCTGCGAATTGCAACATGATTCTTATTGAACACTATTTATGCAATATTACCCAGTTTAAATTGCTTTAAAAAAGCAGCTTTTTGGAATTTTCGGTACTTTTACGTGACAAACGTAATCAAAAAGCCGCGGTTTTTATTAAATAAATAATTATAACGGACTTGATAAAAGTGACTCACGTAATCTAAAATGGGTACAATGTAGCCAAAGCTTTGCTCTACATAACAGTTACCAGCGCTCCTTAGAAATATCAGGGTAGAAATTTTCAAAATTCAGGAAAGGTTTGGCGCTACTGTTGAGCTGCTCAAAAAGCCATGGCGATAACATTGCAAAGACAGGGTAGGTCAGAGAGCAAATATAGCTGTAAGAAAGAGGATGAATATTTAAAACAAATGGTACCTAGAACGTTTATGGACTGATGTTCTGTGAGTTTTAGTGAGCGATGAAAGAAACCGACAAAACTTTCGGGACAACCTAATATAAGTGCTAATAGACTTGGTTTTTTATCGACAAAAAGCTGTTTTTTGTCTTCCAGCACCTTTTCGGGCAGAGTTATATTTATGCCTACAGGCCGTCTTCACGTGTTAAGTAGCCAATGTTAAGTAGCCTGCGCACAGTGTAGAGTTCATGACTCGCTTCAACATGGTACGCCGCAGCTAGCAATAGCATATTTAGAATCAATGTGAATTTAGAATTATGCTTCCTACCAAAAGGCTGAGCTGAGTTAGAATGAGAATGCTTCTTTTTAGAATTGAGCATGCTGATTACGATAAAACCCAAAAAACTGGCTATGGAAACGTGAACGGAGGAAACAACTGAAGTTGGTATGCAATGGTGAGTTCTAACAATCTAATAAGAATCGAACGGAGCCGGCTACGCCAATAATCGTAAAAAACGGTGCACTTAGACAAAGTTTGCTTAGTTGAATGACCACAAAAATTGGGCGGTCGATTGTGTCTTGAATGAAATTGGGTGAAGGTGCTTCTAAGGACGATGAATGCGGTGAGCGAGTATGAGCGAGAGTAATAAGAAAGGCATATCTATTTTGAGACTTCAACGCTTACATGGATTTGGAGCACTCGGCAACTCTGAAGTTTTTAGTGTAGCTCCCAAACAAAAGCGATAACAAAGGTTGAAGATTTAGTCGAAGCATTGACAGCTCCATTCAAAACATGGGCCTGCTTTTGTGGAAGGCAAGTCTGAGCCTATTTTTGTTTAGGGTAGTAGCAGACTCTGCGGCGTAGGGGCGTACGCCGCAAACGTCGCGCAGTCTGTTCCAACACCGAGAAAAATTGCTCGTGCTGAGAAGAAACGTAAAAAACCTTGAAAAAGCTATTTTCCCTTCAGTGAAGCAAATCCATGTGTTGTGCAAAACACAGACCCGAGTAGGAGAGTGCATCAAATCTGTGTGTACAGATAACGTTTGAAGTTAAACATAATAACGCTTCCTCTGTTAGTAGCGTGATTGTCTTTTCTTGAACCTCGGCATTTAAATGATACTTTTTCTCCATTTGTTAGTTGAGGCCAACACGAGGTTTTAAGCCTTTATCGGTAGAGCGGCCTAACTTTTCAAGCAATCCTCATTTTCAAAAGCCTAAAGCGGCGCGCGATTAATGATCATCAGTTGATGAATCAATCATCAATCATCTAGTATTGATTTTACGAGTAGAATTGAGTTATAATGCTGTTACAACAGCTTCTTATGTACTGCAGATATGCCGATGACTGCAGTTTGCAGAAGTTTGCTGCGGTCAGTGCGACAGTATGAAATAATCCTTGCTTGTACGTATGATCCAAATTTTCCAGGTTAATGCGAGTGTAAAATGTTTTCGAAAGAAGAGTTGCAAAAATGTCCTACTGCACGCTCGCTCTTCACATACATCTGCTGCTAGGCATGCTGTTATACGGAACACGTTTGAAATCGCAGCACAGGCTTGCACAGGAGATGATGAGAGAACGAAGTCGTGGGCTAGGCGCCAAGCATTGGAAACGGTTATCAAATGGTCAGTTGCATGCTAGAATAGGCACATATGACGCTCAGCACTATAGTATTTAGAATGCCACTCTGTTTACCTTACATATGCGAGCAAGTCAGTGCTGCTGTACAGCATAGCATAAACCGAGCGCAATCATGCGGCCTATATTGCGTTAGTGATTCGGAGAAGGCGGTCGTATTCCAGCACCGGTGCGATAGCATTATAGCCACGCAAGTTCGACATCCCATTTGATTTTTACCAGTGAATCCAAAAGGGGTCGAAAAAGTGGCCAGGGTTGACACGCTTGATGAAAACTTGTGATTAGTCGCGCGTCACTTTGGGCCTCTGAAGATGAGAATTGCTCGAAACGTTAGGCCTCTTTATCAAAGACTTCGGCAAAGCCTCGTTTTGACACAACTGACAAACAGAGTGCCCTCTCTGTCGCCTTAACCTCTCTGAACGTTTTTTGGCTAATCCTTTTCAAAAGTATCTGTCGAAAGGCTGTAGATTCATTCGATTTTGGTAGCCATTTTGTAAACCTGTTGGTGACGATGGATCTGTATAGGTCATATGAAGACCTCTCTGCAACATAAGAAAGACTAGCTTGACTAGCTGCTTGCGAAGTCACGTTCGCGAAAAGCTTCTTACGTACACCTTTCGCCAGATAGTTGCATATTTGCTAGTCCGCAGTAGGTGGATATGATAACTCTATTAGTGGTATCAATTAGCTATGACATCACGACGAGGTAAATGATGTTCAAATGAGTTTAGCTCAGGGGCGCCAACCAGGGGAGAACCACGGAAAAACGGAAGTAGGTGGGCAAAAAAAAACAATCGGAACTTTAAAGACGGTGCCTATCAGTGGCTAGAGATTACTATAACTTAAGGAGAATTCTCAAAACTAGTTCTGCTTATAGAGATTAAATGACTACACTGCAACTGCGTCAAGTCGGAGAGTCGGAATTTAATGCAAGCAACAAAGTATTAGGTCGTAACATAAGTCTTGTTGCACTTTAACTTCTTACCGCCATAAATCGTATACACCATAGTTTTGATAGAACTCCAGGTACCATACGATAGAGCAAAGCAAGCTTTACAAGATGGTGCACAAAGGCTCGTAAAGTTTCGACCCACCGTAAGTTTGCATCCAGAATCTAAGTCGTACTGAAGACTCAAAAAATCGAGGGAAATCGCCTTGATCAACAAAGTCCTACGGATCTCCAACTTGCTCACCATTACACACGGCATCAGGCACTCATATTTACCGTTGCTGTATTTTTTCCTCGCTTCAAAATCGAGAAAGCGAGACTTTTTATGCTTTTAAGACGTAACTATGCTGTTTCCCATGTAATTGTATATTACAAGCCCTTAAAAGTATGATCGTAAATTTTTAGATTTCCGCAAGCCTCTTTTCGAAAAATATCGATTTTAGCATGCAACATCCGACTGAGGGGAGCCCAATTCGGTAATTTTTGGAAACTAGGGCTTCTAGGAAGCTGAATCACGATTATACTCTTAAGGACTTGCATTATAAAATCACATGGTAGGAACAGCGGAGCTTTGTTTTGTATAAGCTTGAGAACTTTCGTTTTCTCAACTTTCAGATGAGGAAAACATAAGGAACAGTGCATATGAGTGTCTGGTGTGGTGCGCAATTTGCGTGAGCAATTTGAAGATCCATGGGATTTTTTTGAACAAAGATATGATTTTTTTTCAAAATCGAAGCTTCAGTATGACTCAAATTCTAGATGCAAACTTACGGTGGGTCGCAGCTGATGCAAACTTTTGCACACCATTTTGAAGATAGAGCTTGCTTGCTCTATTGAAAGGCACCTTAAAGCCTTACTAAAATTATACAGCTTATTGCGGTAACAAGCGAAAGTATAACAAGACTCTTACAATCCAATACAAGCGTGTCTCAAAAAATGTCCCCATTATTTGATAACAAATAATTCTTCTATTTTTATATTTCCCACGGTCTTTAAAGTGCCATGTTTTGGCTTCAACTCAGCTTCAATAGAGCAAATCATCAGTCTTTCTTCGTTACTGTAGATTGGTAGAACTTCAAAAGGAGATATGACTTTATTGGAGCCATGTTTTGCCACATAAAGATTTTGGAGTCTGTGACATTAGGCCATTCGCTATTATTGATTTCTTATGGAATTTGTTCTCTACTGTAAGGACACTTTAAAAGTACTACATGGTAGCAGCTGTCTCTCAAGGTTCCAAAAACGCAGTTTTACACCGTTCGAAAGCTTCAGTCATCTGTAAGTTGCGTAGAATCAGCGTGCGCGAGTACGCTGCTAAGCGAATTCTCGATTTTTTTGAAAATTTTCGAAAGGCAGAGAATTTGCGATGGCGCTATTTATTGTAAGTTTCTACCGTGATCTTATAGTGATAAAGAAGAATCAATAAAATCGTTTCATGCTGCAAATGTAAGTTAAAGCCAACTCTGCTGCGCGTAGCTTAACAATGATCTTTAAAAAATCAAACAGTAGGAACATTTCCATCATGTACAGATACCAAACGGTGCACACTGTTATAAATTTTGTTACCAACGTAGCTTATACCGCCTAGAAGCAGAGGTCATCACCTGCGCGGCTCTGCTGGTCTTCTCATCCAAACGTTTAGACGGAAAAGACAGAGGAAAAAAAGAAAAAACGAACAGGCGAAGTCGCCTTCCGATAAAGTGTTCTCTACAAATAGCAGTGTTCATGTCCAAAAAGTCGCTTAACATTTGCATGTCTGAGAGGTAAAGCTAATTACCATCGATCCATTGAGTTTGACTTTATAACGAGCACGCACTAACTCATTGAACAGTTCGGTTTTTTGGTCTACCGAACTTACGTCAGGACATGTTACTTCATCAGATGCTCCACCGAGAGCCAGATCGAGGACCTAAGTTTCCTGTAATTGATCAAAGAATATACAAAGTATTCGACGTACCATAAGAATTGTGCACAAAGCAAGCATGATCTCTGAGAGCGACAAATACTAGTGGGAGGAGCATTTTGTACTGACGGCGTCCGTAAATAGTACAATGCGATTCACCTTTTGAAAAAAAAAATGACTGGTAAAAATGCCGCAAGGGTAGTTTTATTTGTTAACGCTGCGTGATTTCTAGCCGATCCATTACTACTGTGACTTAAGAGAAGAAAGGTTCTTAGACGTTGACAACTATTTTTTTCTCTTTTCTGCCTCGTCTTATCTTTTCTTAGTTACTGTAAACATCGATAGCGCTCAAATTTCATTGGAGGCAAGTAAGGCGAAATGAAAAAACGAGGACCAAGAACATTATTGAAGTGTTAATTGACAACTCAGCATTTTTTTGAAATTTTCTGTTTGCCACTTTGTTGGACACTAAATTTTCATCGTCAAATTTTGATGACATTTCCACCAAACCGGTTGTGACAAAAGTCGAAGTGGGGAAACGTGAATTTTTGAAAGACTGATATTTTTTCGTGGGCTGTTTGAAAGGAGGGATGAATCCTGGAGGATAGTCTATTACAGTAGATTACCAGGAGGTTACAACCAATGAGTTTTCAGGAAATAACCGAAACCTGCAGACCATTTTATGGGGCAGATCGAATTTTGCCACTTTTCTAGATTTTCGTACCAAGTCTCCGAAGAGATCCGGGTAGCTGGTGGGTAGAGCAATTCTACAGAAAACAGTGCCGCTTTCTTCTTCTTTCTATAGCTCGTCATAATTTTTCCTCGATTGATTTTTCAGTTTTTTTGGCTAATGTACGAGCTCTTATGATAAAGCGGAATGTCCAATTTTCCAAATTGTAGTATGACAAGGAAGGAACTCAAAACATCAGCATTGCTTTGAAGACTCACTCTGATACCTTGTTTGGAATGGACCAAATAATGCTTAACTTTTTTATAAAACGTAGTCTCCAAAAAGTTGGAAAAAGTTGTGATATGTCAAACTCAGCTCGATTCTTGACTAGCCAATCGTCTTCTCCACTATTTGGATCATCTAGCTCTACTTCGCTTTTCAATGATTCAAGGGGAACTTTCTCTTGTTTTCAATTCAGCTATTTTTATGGTCTGGGAATTATTTTCTCGTAAGTATGTGACGCTTTCAACCTCCATCAACGGCAGCATACACCCAAACTTCGACTTTCATGTTTTTGTCATTCTGGGGCCTCTCCGTGGCCCTTTAACAGATATGAGGCGCCAAAGTGCAAAATCTCATAAAGATCTTTCTGGAAGCTTTATACTGAGGCCACAAACTACCTTCAATACTCAAGTGAGTGGAGCTTGAATTGGGCAGGCGTGGCTTGATAGCACTTTCGCAGGTTGCGGGAAGATTTTTTCTCATTCATAGGCTACTTTAGAGGACCGGATCAATGCAGATGACCCACTCCTAAAGGCTCCGAAGACACTCTTGAAGGCAGTGTCCTAGCAGATTCGCACCCTGGAGAAATATTATGGTGGGGTTTGTGGTCACCCCACTTATCTCTACTCCTAGAGCTCTCATAGTGTACTAATCGAAGGCCATAGATTTTGCATGGACGCTGACTTTTATAATCATAACAATAGCGTAATTCCCACAGCAAGGGCGCTATCGTCATTCTAGAGATCTTGAAGACCAAATGCCCCTATAACTTTGGCTGTAAACTCAACTATACACGTAATTTTCTCATCTCATTTGTTTTCTTGTGGCCAAATGAAACTGGGTGTCATAACAACAATGTAGCATTGGTAAGATTCTCGATATATGTTTAGAAGTAAATTTGTTGCAATTTTGGGGAGCTGTTAAATATAGTCCTGTTAGGATAGCGGGTCTAACCAACAATTCATAGTTTTTATTGTTTCTACATCTCTCTACATAATTATAATTTCTCAGAAATAATGCAGTTATGAATTTAAAGATTTTCGCTTGCCATGTTCGTAGAACTGGCTTACTGCTTACGAATAACAACAATACTATGATACTGCTGATCTTTTTTGTAACTGTGTCCGCAAACTCGGAATTTTTTACTCACTGTCAAATCTCATCGATTTGCCACTATTTGTTCGAGAATCAGTTTGGGTATGATGGTCTTCTATAAAAACCATCGCAAATCCTACATATGTAATGTGAATACATAGACATGATTTATACGTCCTCGAATCAATACATAGCATTCGCAAGAACAGAATAAATTTCAACAATATTAGTAAAACTACTTTCTTTGTGTTTATTTGATCATATGCCTCCTAGAATCTTTTTATGAACACTTCATAACATCAGAGAATTGTCTCATTAGACATGCGGCTACTGAGTGATGGTGGTTTGACATATATGTAACATCTTGTAAGCGAGTCAGAACTGAATTGAACTACTTGTAAAAAGTGTAAAGTAAGTTGTACTATTGTATCGCTCAGTTACAAATCATTTGGACCGGTACATAAATAAACATTTTTGATTTCTTCTAAACTGCAGAATTCAAACACGGGTGGCAGTCAAGAATAACGATAGCTCTGCCAGCCGCTAGCTGCCAGCTGCGCGCGAGCGCAGAACAGCCCGCCCTAACTCTTCTAGAAAGCGGAGAAAATCGATACAAAAACCATCTCTTTCCATTGAATTTTACTTCTACATTAGTCACGGCGATTTATGCATTTCGCATGCTGAATTGAGCTTAAATGTTTACCAGCGCATGCAAAAAGTGATATAATTGCTGATTATTTCCATCCAAGGAAGATATCAGAAACGATAACATAAAGCAATGATAAAGAAAAATAACGTTTGGGCATATGATACTACAAGCTGTACTGCCTGCGTGAGCTCGTCTGCTAGCTGGGGCGGTGCTACCGGTACGCCGCTTATTGACACCCGGGCACTCAGGGCGCCATTATTGCCAGCTATCGATATTCTTGACATACACCCTTCAAACACTGTATTATAATCTGCGCCACCTGACGATACAATCTGTTTAAGCTAAGGTTAATCTTGCTCATGTCTATAGTCTGCTCCAATCGGAATCAGGCCGAGCCGTCGGTGTAAGCTCGCGCGCTCGTAGCGCTGGCGGCTTACGCTGCATATGCGCGCTGTCGAGAGAGCAAGGATTGAAGGCGTGGCAGAGAATCAGGCCGTGGACGTGACCGAAAAACCCTAGCGACGCGGACTCCCACCCCAGTTTTGGCATGGTTGGGATTGGGGCAGACTGTATGTACTTAACCTGATTTTGCATTATGAATGATTAAAAATGTCTAAATGAAAATGACAACTTCCGATTTACGTTACTGGCAGCCATGTTTTGGCACGCTAGTCTCCTTTCACAAAAGCTTGATTGGAATAGACGAAAACCATTGAAAAACTTTAGTGGTTGAACTTTCACAAAGTGCAGTTCGAAGAGCAAAAAAAAAGGTGTACGGCAGTGATCATCTGATACCGCGAAAATTGGATGTCAAGTGTAGGCTTTCATGGTTCATAAATCATCCTGTACTGTCAGAGCTGTGTAACAGTAAAGGTCATCGTGTTGATACGAAGCTTATGAAATAATATGAGGGTTGGGAACTGTGAATTGTGAAAGTAACCGTGCTAAATGCCGATTGGGGATTGCTGACGTTGAATGATCGAATCAAAATTCAGGATTATATACTATAATTTGCATCTTATTAGGTGGTTTCATAAATTCGCAGATTTCTATAAATCAAGAAACGACAAAATTTTAGGAAAACTTTAGTCAACAGTGTATGTTCCGTCATTGCGCACAACTTCCTACTACCATGCCGTCAGATTTTCAATTCCATTTTTCCAAAAGCAGCGAGTCTGGTCCCAAAAAAGTCGTTTATTATGCGCCTGAGATCGTCTTCGAAACCAAAATAAACGCCGTTCATACGATGTGTGATCGACTGGAAGAGACGACCATATGCTAGACGAGATCTCACAAGGGGTTGGTCAGAAGTCGAAGTGGCCAAACCAAGCAAGCTGTATATCATTCGATGCAGTATAAAACGCTGACTTCGAATCTGTCTTCCTTATCTGCTTCCCGCTTCTGTGGACGAAGCTACAAGCGGTTTTATTGTGAAAAAATCATACATGAAAACAGCGAAACTGAGCACATTGTTGCACTTTTAGCTCAGCTTTTGGCTTCAAACATTTTAAGTAAGTTAGCTGCATGTTTTGGCCCAGCATTGAGGCGAACGAGGCTCTGTACGGCTAAATTTTCAATTTCACGCATAATTTCTAAGCAAAATAATGGTCTTTAATGGCTTGTAACTTCGTCCAGAAAAGCGATAAGCAGATAAAGAAGACAGATTTAGAGTCAGCGCTTCATGCTGCATTTAACGCTACGCAGCTTGCCTGGAATGGCCACTTCGATTTCTGACCACTCCCTTGTCAGGAGTACGCTGAGTACTAATGTACCTCCCGTTCAAGTCTTGCAGGACAGCTATGACGACAGCTGCTTGGGGGGAGGGGTAATTTTTGTCGCGCAGAAGAGTTTACTGGACCTGTTTATTGGACTTTTTGTGCAGTAGAGACTCGTTTAAAGGTGCAGTCGGGCTGTATACTGTATGGACGACCGTCTTGTTCTTGCCTAGCAAACCATGCAGAACCTCCTGCCTATCCCGCAAAAAACGCAATCTCGTTGTTCTTGGAGCATTGGAATACCTCTACTGCCTCATGTTGACAAAAAACGCCATCTTCCATAATCGGGCAAAAAATCAGAGCAAAACGCTTTTTTTATATGAGAAAAAAGAGCAAATGTTGAAAATGTTTCTTTTCACATTTTGAGAAATCTTCCTTTAGAAGCTGAGTAATCAGTGAGCTTAGCTTTTCCTAAAATAAAAATAGTCTATTTTGAAGGGCATGATCAGCTCTTCTCGATGATATACGCACCTTGACGCAAACCAACCGCTTCTCAAAAAAATGAGAACGAGAATGAAAACTTCAGAAACTTATAAAACGACGTACTGCTAACTCAAGACTTGCGATTATTATAGCTTGGATGTAGTTATATTGGAATATATAAAAGTTT